TCCTGGACAACAGTCTGCGAGAGGTAGCTTCCAGACAAGGAGAGAAACCTTACAAAGTGAGGACATGCCACCTCCCAGGAGACCTGCAAGCGCCAGCAGTTCTTTCTTCACTGGAAATCGCCAAACCACATCCATTGACAGTGCTCCACCAGCTCCTCGCCTTAGCCATGTAAGTGATGATGGGAGTGCAGGATCACCTGGACAACAGTCTGCGAGAGGTAGCTTCCAGACAAGGAGAGAAACCTTGGAAAGTGAGAATATGCCGCTCCGCAGGAGAGCTGCAAGCACCAGCAGTGCTTTCTTTGATGGAAATCACCGCAGGAGCCGTGCAAGATCCTCTGCAAGTATGCAACACACCAGAATGAGGAGAGCAAGATCAGATGTAGAAATGGACAACATGACTGGTGATGCCTTTGCACGTAAAGGTTCTGAATTTCGCCAGCCGTTGTCCAGAGCAAGGTCACTATCTCAAATACGATTTCAACCGTCGAGTCCTGAAGAAATGCGTGTTGCTCTGTCGAGAGTGCCATCCTTTGTCTTTGTATCACCCATGCACACCATGTCCCCAATCCGCAAGCATTCCAGCAGTTCGTTCTCCAGTCGTGGGCGAAGATCAAGAATCGGCAGACCATTGGGAATAGGAAGAAGAGCAACAACAGGAACAGTAAATGGCATGAGGCTCAGAGTGCCGGTAAGAAGCCGAGCGTTGAGCATGCCAAGCAGAATCTTCATGCAAAATAATCGTGGCAGTGAGGTTTTATGGGGCCCATCAGCCTCCTCATCCTCTGACAACAGAATACCCGATCTTCCTCCCCATTTAATTGGGCAGCTGGAAGATCCGTCCCGCGCTTCTTCAATCTTCACGGGCAGAACACAACCCGGGTGGGGCCAACAGGACAGTCAAGAGGGCAGTTTCTACGATCAGATGAGGTCAGCATCTGACAATAGTGGTCGACTTTCAACAATCACCGATGCTGCAAAGGAAATGCTGACGCCAAGTCAAGTCAGTGGCCTTCCGTTCTGGTATGAGACAGATGAGAATGATGGAACCGGAAACCGAGTTCAAGGAGGAGAACACATGTCCCTGAATACATGGCGCTCTCTCGGTCAAAGAGCAATGAAGGGAATTGGAAACCTGAGAAGAGTGAAGTCTCTAAGCCCTTTTGAGGAGGCTTCACAGACGAACTCGGAACATCTGCTGGGCACTGCGAGCAGTCCTCGTCATCGAAGAACGTGGACAGGGCGATTGTCAATCACCCCACAGAGGATGCAGAGTCTCATGCTGGGGCGAAACAATAGCACAACCTTGACCAGAGGGTCAAGTTCTAGAGCAGCAGCCACCTCACAAGGTCACACCGCTAGGTCCAGCATTGATTATCCTCCCAACCCAGCAGATAACAGTATGATGGGTCCAGCTTCCACGAGGATGGGTGGGCTTACGAGAAACTGGCAGTCGTTGAGCAACAGGGCAAGCAGGGCATTCAGCACAATTACCAAGCCATCTTTTGCATCATCAGCTGGCGACAAGCGCAAGTCACTGTACGATGAGCCACAGCAACAGAATGCCGAAGGCAAATCTTTGTCAGTTGAGCGCGAACGAGGGGTCTCCTGGGACCAAGGTGTGGACTCACAGTCCAGCACTTCAGAATCCTCAGATCGGAGGGAGCCTCCTACATATCAGCCCGGAAAACAATCAATCGGGAGCAACGCAGAGACTGGTACAGGCTTTGATGGGTCTGTACTGCGCTCAGGAGAGCAAAGTGTCAGTCGTGGTAGCAGTGCATCCATTGCTTCCCCTAATAGTTCTCGGAAGATCACTGTGGTCAACGACTCTCCACTAAACCTAGCTGTCGGAATTGAGAAAGCGGAAGTTGAAAAGGATTCAAGTGCAAGTGCACTCACAAACGCCCAGCAGAAGCAATCGCAGAGCACAGAGAATCTGTCGGACAAAACATCGAGTGAAACCGAGGGCTCTCGTTCAGGGCCGCTCATGGGGGACCTTTCTCAGGCAGAGCAGCATGATCGTCAAAAGCGTGAGAGTTCAACCACGTCGGACACAACCGCTCCAGCAGCCGAACGCCTTCCTGAGATGTCAGAAGGAAATCAGCCATTGCCTGAGTCGACCGCTGATCAGAACCTAGCTGATCAAGAGTTAGAAAACACTGATTCCGCCACAAAGAGTGTGGCTATGGGTCAACACCTCGCTGATAGTGAGGTAGCAACCATCGCCTCTGGCACTGAGAGTGCGCATGCTGAAGCTCTGCTGCCTACGCAATCCGGTGACAGCCACTTGAGCACGAATTTCAGGCTCACCAAGAATGAAACAGCGACAGCAGACTCTGAAGAGTCTAAGCAACCAAGTTCCGAGACCAGGGACTCCTTAGCCACCAACGGCCCAACACAAGAGGTACTCAAACATCCTGCAGGTGATTTGCAACCCAACTCTCAAAAGGCAAGTTATGTGACCTTGGAAGCAATAACAACATCCGATGGTACAAGTCATGGTGCTCCAAGTGAAATCACGGATGGGAAAGAAAACCAGAACCAAAGCCAAAATGAAGGTGATAATGTTCAAGAATCGTCAACTGTAGAAGTGACATCGGATCAAGGAAGCACTGTGCCAATTGAGGAATCGACAACAAGTGGTGGTGTTCTCTCCCCAGAGTCAGGGTCGGCTGCAGAGACCGGAGCACAGGTCCTCTCCCATGAAAGCAATTCAGAAGAACTGTCAATCAGCCCTACGGAAAACGCTCAATTGGAACAGGGGAAAGCACCACATCGTCGTGTGCGATGGTCAATCACACAAGAGGTTGCACCCATCGTTCGACCACCTCCCACCTCTTTCGCATCCAAGGTGAAGCAAACTTTTGGTAGTCTTTTCGGTAGAGGCTCGCGGGGTTCTACCTCCAAACCTTCATCGACTGATCCTCACCAGCACCAATCTGTTCCCAACTCTCCAGAAAAGGCAAAAACTGGGGGAATCCCAAGACAAAGCGCCATCAGGAGATCGGGTGTGGACAACTCCAGGCAAGGAGAGCAATCATCAAAAGTTGATCACCAAGGTGTAAAGGTCTCAAGCGATGGTCTTGTCACTTCGACTACAGCGGAAGTTTCTGAAAAAGAACCCATCCTTCACAAGGAGGCCACAGATGGAAGGAGTCAAAAGGAAGGGCAGCGCATTTCACATCTAGGCTCCATTTCATCAGTCCCTCAGGAAACTGATGAAAACATGAACAAGAGCTCAGTTGTAAACCAATCAAGTGATCCTGCGGATGGGAAGAAATCGTCCTCGGCTAGTTGGAACGCCTTCTCTCGGATCAGGGGAGACTCTCGTGCTTCTGACAAGAGAGCATCCTCCACCAGCAACTATACTTCACCGGAGTCTGATTCTTCTTCTGGCAGTACAGGAACTTCAACTGAAACATCCTCCAGCTCAAACCAAGCTGCGGGGAGGAAAGAGCATTCCAGCATCGAGCCCCATTCCTCCCAGCTCTCAGCATCAGACGACGATTCCCTCTCCAGAAAGAGAAGAAAGACATCATCTTAGCCTTAGAGAGTTTGCACACACGGACTGGCTACGCTCTTGTAAGAAAGAAGCGGGACAGTCACACTTCACACTTTCCTATCATAATATAGTAATATACCTTTCACGAAAACTTTCAGTTAGTATACCCAAACCGACCCCCCAGGAGTAGAGTCAAGGAGGATCTAAAAGGTCCAGAGCAAGTCGAGGCAGAGTCTCTGACAGACAAAGGTATACCAGCGAGTCAGAGTTCTAACCCCACTGGCATGGGGTGGCAATATAGAACCACGGCGAAAGAGGCATAGGACAACGGGAGGTATCGCACAAACAGCATGCCAAATTAGGAAATAAACTGCCTTTGGGTGCCCAGCCCTGACGATTAAAGAAAGGTGGGGAGGAATTTACTAGGTGCACATGAACAGTCAACCTTGTCGGCCGGAAAAAATCTGAAGCCATCGCCATAAAAGAAGTTCAAAGAACTTTCCCAAAATTATACCCGTAAACGTGAGGGGCCTTCAATTGCTGAATAATCTAGGCAGAATTACCTCTTGAGAAAAAAAAGGCGATATGATCCTGCGAGTCCTTGCAGGCAGAAAGTGGTCAATGAGTTGCAAGAGCAACTTGTAGGTAGCAAGTGCGAGTAAGTGCCTTATGAAGTTATGATGAGCTGAAGGCCCTTCCAGGGCGCAAGTGGTGTGTGACTGACAGCTCAGAAGTTCATACATACATGACACTTCCAAAATCTCTGATCTGCAACAACCAATCATTTTTCAGAAAGAAGCAGAAATCTATCCAGTTTGCCTTCTCCTGCCCCATTCCCATCCTCCAAACTTTAATTGCTACCAAGCAGTGTTGGACAGGTGCCCAGCCGAGCGTACCTGGCCAGGCACACCCTGGCCACCAGGCAGGGGGGGGGAGTTCTCTTTTGCCAGTCAGAAACAACCACATGCAACGTAATCATAAGAAGGCAGACCACCTTTCCCAACTACAAACCAAGAGCTCTTTACTCATCCGCTCCCCTGCTCTCTCCTAAGGTAATTATGTCGTCAATCTACAGTAAAAGCAACAGTGGAAATACATAAAGGCCAGTGAAAACCGGATAATTACGGAACAGTAAGATGAGATGACATCCCTAGTTGACGCTGCTTAAACGGCCAGTACCTTTCCCTGATTCCTTTTCCCAACCTCCGCCCAGCATGTGTGAGGTCACGTATAGGCTCGGTGTCACATTGGAAGAGGGCAGTCCGTGACACTGTACAAAAGCGGGACAGGGAGTAGGGGGGTTGGGGAGGTATTTTGATACAGAGACACCAGAAAAAGAGTTGGAGAAAAAAACAAATGGAAAAACACAACACAAAACAAAACAAAACAAAACAAAACAAAACAAAACAAAACAAAACAAAACAAAACAAAACAAAACAAAACAAAACAAAACAAAACAAAACGAAACAAAACACAACAAAATCAAAACAAACAAAAATACAAAAGCAAAATGCACTCTTCATGTAGAAAAGGGTAGCACATTATGTGAGGCTTTACTCTCTTTGAGGACAAAATGTGTAAACATAGTACTCGAGCAACCGAAGTCACCCCAGCATCGCCCTTCTACCTCGTCCACTCAGGCTTCCCAAAAACAAAATGGCAAGCCCGTTACTTTCTCCTCAGCGACCGCATCCGGCAGGCAGCCTTCCCAGCTGGCACTGCCCATGAAGAATTAAAAATAGGCGTCATCGCTCCACTGCACAGCATTGAAAGAGTATGGGTAGTATTTTCTTGACTGAATGTGGCTTTGAATGAGGCCATATTTATGACAACCATTCTAATGAGAGCATTTGCATGTCTTCATTGGAATAGCGAGAACTGGGAAAAAGATAAGGATTTACTAGGTCTTCGAGGTGAGAGCTGTCGCAGGGAGCCATGGTGCCAACTGTGGGTAAAGAAGAATGGCTGGCGTATGGGCACGGGGAGGCGGGGAAGGATTAGCTGATGACGATGGAACATGTCACGAGTCCGATCACCTAGGTTGTTCAGGTTTCCATGGCCTCCACTCAATAGGCTCCACAGCTGATGGATTGTCAAATTTGGTTTTGGGGTAGGAGGGTAACTTAATATCTTAATGTCACACGGGAGGTCAACCGCGTACTTATATTGATCTCACACAAGAGGTCGACTGTACAGACCACTAGGAAGGCACACTTGACATGCAAGGATCACTTTATGCCTGAGCAATGGGGAGAAGGGCAAGACTGCGACCCGTAATTAGTAATTACGGACAGGGGGTGTAACTTACACCACCACTCCTTTTCCATGCTGTCTGCGTCAGCCCGCATCTATGAAGTGGAAAAACTGCAGTGACCCTAGCGTCCATCCTACTAGCTGAAAAATCAGCTGCCACATAACCCCACAAAGCGTACAGAAAAGGAGTGGTGGCTCAATCGCACAAAACAGGTCAACTGTGCTTTGACCTCGGTCAACTGTCCCCATCAGTAAGGTACATTTGACAGGCCTAGCTCAACTATGCCAAACTGATGGGTGAAGGGAAAGAATGTGACCATTAATCAAATGGAGGGAGGTTAACTTATCTTCATCCCCACATAGGAGGTCAACGGTTTTTTGACCTTGGTCAACCATGCATCAACCTAATCCATATGTCCCCATTCATAAGGCACAGCCGAGAGGAAAAAGTCGACAATGCCAGACTGATGCAAGAAGGACAAGAGTACAGTCGCTAATAGCAGGCAGGGAGGGTTAGTTGAGTTGATCTAGCAAAAGATGTAAAGCACGCTTTGACATTGGCAAACCATGTCTTAAACCAGAAGTACACCACATATCGGGCCCCGGGTGTCAGCATGAAACCCGCACCACTTCGGAGGCCGCCAATTTTTTTTTTCAACGGCGGGCATGGCCGCGCGACGCCTCCAAGTTTTGCTTGTGGCGACAAAAACTTTCTGCAAGGCTGGGGCCGTGTACTAGCGGTTTAAGCAGCTCTGCCAACTGTCTCCTTTAGCAATGCACCATCTACTAAAAAGGGTTGAAACTTGAAAAGGGTCAACTATGCTTGAGTGATGAGAAGACAACAACCTCGGGCAGGCAGGAAAGACTGCAGCCACAGTCAACCAACCCCGTGGACGGTGCACTGCGCACGGAAATGGTCAACGGTTCTTTGACCTTCATCGACTGTGTATTAACTGCAGTCTTCCACCAAACCCATAGGTAGCAGAGCAATTTGACAGAACAGAGCGAACTGTTCCTGATGGGTGAAGAAAGGCAAGACTGCAGCCACTAAGTGCAGGCGGCGATCATAACGTAGCTTGATCCCCTAAAGAGGTTGATTGTCTTTTGAACTCAGTCAAACGCGCCTCAACCTCTGTCAACGATCAGCTGACTGATGAATAAAAGAGGTCGACTATGCTTGACTGATGAAAGAAAGAAAAATCTGCGGCCACGGTAATCGCACACATGGAGGGTACCTTGTGTTAATCCTATGAAAGAAGTCAACGATGCTTCGACCCGTCTTTTAACCTCAGTCAACTACCCCCATTCGTAAGGCACAGCTGACAGACCAGGAGCAACCATCCCTGACTGATGGGAGAAGACAAGATTACTAGTTTAGTCACAGGTAGGGAGGGTGGCTCGTCTGGATCCCACAAAAGAACATGCTGTGCGTGGACCTCGGTCAATCACGTGCCAACTGTCTCCATCATGAGGGCACATTTTACAAGCAACGGTGGACCATCCCTGACCAACCGAAGCAGGACAATACCGAACCACTAGTCCCAGGCTTATACACACAGCTATGACACGGCTAGGGCTTAGCTATATCATTTTCCCAGGCATATACACACACGTATGACACAGCTACCCTCTTCCCCCTGACTACAACGTACGGTCATTATAGCTGTATTTGGGGTATCTTTCAGTCTAAATACATACAGCTATAATAACCGTACATTGTATTTGGGGGAAGAAGGTAGGCATAAATATGCCATCAGTGCTCATTGCCAAACCGGTTCCGAGCCCTAACTACGAGTGTTATTTGGTTTCTGGGCATTGCTTACAGGTTCATCCATGTTGTAGTCTTCTTGTTCCTGATCGCTGGCAGTCTTGTTCCTTTTTTCTCCTGAAAACCGATGAACGTGGTCGAAAAATCCATCTGGATTCTGGCATCAGTTAGTTGCAGTCCGGACATCAACTATTATGCAGTTATGAGGGAGGCGTCAAAGGAGCAGAAGATGAAGGCAGCATTACACGCCGTCAGTGGCTCACCGCCGCTCGCCCACATGGCAGTATTATAGGCAATCACGGTGTCTTTCTGATCAATGGCTGGAAAAGATCTGGATGCAATGTCTAAGAACGTGTTCGTGTCAAAGTCATCCTTTCGCATGTGCACTGCTTTAGACTTGAGGATCCTGTACCATCTCTGAAATCGAGGCTCGGTCCCTGCCAGCAGTCGACTTGTTAGAAACTCCAGGACTTCGAAGTCGGTCATTCCAGATGTACAAAAATTTACGAAATCAGTTAACAGGCATCTCAACTCGGCATTGCTGATGCCAGGGTACAGCATATCCACAAACTCGGCGTACTCCTCGATGGAACTGACTGGACTGAGGTTGAGCAGTCGCCTCCACTGCATGGTATACCGCCAGGCGGCATCTGGGAGTTGTCCAACAAGGACACCCCTGAACATTTCTACAACATAGCTCATCTTTCGTAATTGCTCGATTGCAGCTAAGAGTCCGTGAGCGATCAGAAGTATGCTTAACCTGCTGACGTACTTCTCTTCCAGGTACTTGTAGACAAAATTGTGCAGGGAAATCCAAACACTGGTGACCCCCACCGGAAGGGCTTTCAGTGGCCGGTGGGTCTGATCCTGCGTAGCAGTGTGGGCTACAAGCCAAAACCCAGACATGGTTCTATTCCCAGTCCAAATGTCAGAGCCAATCCCAGTAGTCCCAGTCCCAGTCCCAGTCCCAGTCCCAGTCCCAGTCCCAGTCCCAGTCCCAGTCCCAATCCCTGTCTCAGTCCCATTGGTGGCAGGGGAATGTGAGGTGTCATGCTTCCACTTTGCTGAGAGCATTTCTTCGATGGCTTTCAACAACTTCTCCAAGCTAAGTGTTCTTGACCTGTCCCCTCGATGGAGTCTGCTGGCACCCACAACCGCAGGTTCATAAGTTTCGGATGAATCTTCCTTGCGCAAGATGTAAAAATAGCCATGCCACAAAGGATCCGTAGACCTCCTTCTGAAGTCAGCCCAATACCCCCGGTGCACACTCAGACCCGAAGCACCCCTTCCTCGCCCTTGTCCTCCTCTTCTATCTCCTCGACCTTTTCCTCTCTCTTTACCTCCTTTCTCTGATGACACTGACACCCTCCGGGAGGATGATTTCAAGGTCCTTCCTTTGCCGGATGATCCTGACGCCCTCCGGGAAGATTTCTGTGTCAGCTTGATGCCTTCCACTGAAGCCTCAGTGTTGTTCCTCTGGTTTTCGCTGTTTTCGAGAACAGCAGCCAAGCCTGTATCTTGGTCACTACCGACAGCTATTGAGTCATCTTCAGTCACACTCCCACTGGATGACTTTGTCCTTGGACTTACCGGTGCTACGGATTCAACCGAAGCAGGGCTACGGGGTGAGGCAGGCAATTGCGCTGAGCTGGCATTTGCCAAAGCAGAATTGATGAGAGGCAACCTCAATCCGAGCTGCCTGTTGGGAGTGCGGTTGTCGTCGCTGACAAGGACAACACTACGGCTAGTGGCCAGCCAGCTTACCCGAAGATGTGTGGCGTCCTGGGGGAGTCGCCGAATGAGAGATGAATTTGTAGGGCTTCCCGAAGAAAAAGGTTGCTGAACGAGGGGTGCATCAGTGGGGCTGCGGGGAGAAGAACCGACAGACCGCACATTAGGAAACTCGTTCTCGCCCAGTACTCGATACCCACCCCCATTGTCGCAGGAAACCTCAATCCTGAAGAGCACACGCTCTCCTCTGCCACCTGCACGCCTTCCCGGTGACAGTTTCTGTACTAAGTTGATCCCTTTTTCTCCCTGTGCTTCCACTTGATCGATCAACCTGTTTGAGCTCGCACTTCCATTTCCAGATGTGGATGGATTTGATGGTCTGTTCTGGAGATTGGCATGCTGTATCTGCGTATCCAACTTGTGTAACTCCTCCTGCACAGAGGTCATCGCTTTCACGAAGTGTTGCTGGATATCCTGGACCGCACTGGTGGCTCCCATGTCCCAAGCCTCTTCGTACCTATCCAACAACTTATTTCTGACAGATAATAGGTCAGACTCGTTCAATATGCAGTCCACTAGATCCTGTTGTGTCCGAGATGTTAGGAGTCCCCTGCGTCCATCCTCTGCATGAAACTCAAGTGCAGGTATGGATAATCGTGATAAAGGGCGCCGTGTTGCTGAGACAGGACGCTCAACACCTCCTGCGAATGGTATCGTGTCCGCTTCACCCCGTACAGTTTCTTCCCCTGAGTGCGGAATTCTCATTAGTGCTCTTCTTAATGCCTCGCGCTCTTTCCGTCTCCGCTTAAGCTTATCGACCCCGTCCCTTGCAGCATCAATGGACTGCTGCCATCGCTTCATCTCGGATGCCTTAGTAAACATGGTGTCCCTATTCTTTTGGCGCTGGAGTGAAATACTCATCTTCCTCAGTTCTTCATTCTCTGCCTTGGCAATACGAAGCTGTTCCTTGAGTTCTTCCACCCCCTCTAAGCTCTCTACTGTGCTCTGTGACCCACGCCTGTCACTCAACCTCCTCTGACTCAAACTGTTTCTCAGATTGCCACCGCTTGCGGCTGCCAATCTTGACTGCGCTTTTTCCAGTTCTTTCGAGAGGTTTTCACACTTCACGAAGAATGGGATCCTTTCGATGCCAGCGTAATAACCGCCGCCGTTTGCGAGCGGGGAAGCTGTCACTTCGTTACTGTAAAGACAAAGAAGCACTTCCCTCGCGATTGTGTTCATCACAGTCTGAAACGGTCCTAAGGAACCAGACAAGAGGATTTCTCTGAGCACGCTGACATGGCAGGATAATCTGTCAGAATTTGGCTCTCGTTTCTTCCCCTTCTCCTTCTCAATAAGGAACAAACCCAGAGACGAAAGATATTCCGCCAGCTTCAGCTCAAAATAGACCGAATTCGGATGAACTACCCTGCTATCTGCAGAGAACAGGCGGGGTCCCTGACCTCTGCTCGCCTCCGGCGAACGCATCCTGCCCCACTCTCAAGCGGACTGTTCCCAATCAACAAACTTGTTCTTCAAAGTTCAAACCAAAGGTGCCATGTGGCAGACTACGAAGAATCTGCTTGTCAAAATCCATCCACTTTCAAGTTTACTCATTACTTACTCAACGCCACGGGAAACGGTGGGTCTCACTGGCCCTTCCATCATTACGATGCGTGGCTGGTGGAATCAATCACAGTACCCCCTTTTTTTGGTCTGCCTGCCTCTCCCCCCCCCCCTCACTTCCCTGACTCTTCATCCATGTAGTATTACCAAGACCCAGAGCATGATGCTTCATCAAGCTCCTTGGGTTATCGTGTGAGGTGGTTTGCATACGCTGCATTGAACCTGGCTTGCATACTGATTGTCCTGCCCCTGCATCACCCCTCAACATCACACACCTGGCTCCCCGCTGCAAAAACGCCAAGAGACCCACACCTCACTGTTCAGTGTTTTCAGGATTAAGATTTACGAACAACTACGAAGCTGTTTGTTTTCTTAAAATCCTCTTGCCTGTCTGATGTTGCCCAGAAGTGAACTTGGTTTCACATTTCTCCTGCAAAAGTATGACCGAGGCAAGAAAACTGGATTTGAAGATATGCATCCGAACTTCAAACATGAGCATTTTAAGGTTTTTTTTTTTTTTTTGATTAAAAATTTTAAGAATCTTTGCAATATCCAAGTTCACCCAGGCCAATTTGGCATGTCGCTTACCCGCTTGATCACAAAATCCAGATCTACTCAGAGTTTTTATTATATCAGAGATAGGTGCTTCCATTGTATTTAATTGTGGCTTATAAATAGTAATATGAGGTGATAATGGTCGATTGATTTTCATGTCAATTTACTCTGATTTTGACTCAAGGTGACAGGATTCGAACCTATGACCCTCTGTACCCAAAACAGATGCGCTACCAGACTGTGCCACACCTTGTTCTGTTCAATTGGTAATTCAACTAGCTGACTAACTAAGATTGGATTGACTGGAACTGGTAAACTCATTGTTGTAGGCTCAAATCCTACATTCCGGTTCCTTTTTTTTTTTTTTCCGGAGCATCAGTCCGGTTCCTTT